GCATGTCGTGCAACTGGAGACTGTTAGCTACGATTCGCATACGCATGGTACGCGATCACAAGGAATACGAAAGCAAAGAAAGGGAAACCGTACACATGGTCACCCCATGCACCCATAGCCGGATCATAGAGACCACCGGGAACGGGGTTGTTGAAAGAATCCAATGTCGGAGTATTATGGATTCGCTTTACCGAGATGGCCTTGATGTCTTGATCATTGTAGACACCAAACTCAATCCCCGCAATGGAGGAGGCCACAGGCCGAGCGAAAGTAGTCATGATTGCCCTGGCAGCCGCTTGAGCGACAAACGACGCTGGCGGTGCAAATTCTGGGACTCGTGGGGGGTTAAAGGCCTGGGAAGCAGAAAAGGCGGGTTCGTCGGTCTCGACGATGCGAAAAGTTTCACCCAACTTTTTTTCTGCCGTGCGACACCGCCGGTGGACCCACGTTGGCACCTGCAGCGCCCCGTGATTTGAGATCCTTTCCTTGTCTCGATTGTTGACGTCTTTTCGCGACCGGCCCCAGATCTTGCTTATTGAGCTGCCTTTCTTCGACCATCTCACTTCGATCCCATCGCTAGTCTTCCGGTCGCTCTGCTGATCCCCGTGGGTGAGTGGAGCATCTATTTGTCTCTCCGATCATGGCGGACATATCAGGCAACATGCTGAAGCGGCCTCACCCCGAGGACCAAGACAACAACACTCAGAAAAGACCTCGTTCCAATCATGGATCCCCAATGCCTGCCCAAGGCGCACCTGCCGCGGGCAAGGTTGATATTGAGAAAATGGTGGCCGAAGCTAGAGCAAAAGCAGAAGCGGTGCGTGCCAGACTTCAAGCGGCAAAGGGTATATCGCCATCGCCTACACCGGCTGCATCAAGTGCCAGCCCTACGCCTCCTGCCGCCAGTCCAGCCATGTCGAGATTGGAGCAAATGAAAGCTAGAGTGGCAGCAGCGACCAGTCGCGCCAACGCTGCTCCTCCGCAACGACCCGCCCCTACGCCGACGCCTCAACCTCCTCCATTCGAAGATGAAGACGATGGCTCGTCGCGAGCTCGAGGTGGTCTGGATGTTGGTCTCCACCCCGCTTTGCTCTCCGATACACTCGAGTTCCGGGGTGCGAAAGGACGTCAGACTTCCCAAAACAAGAGCCGACGTACAGAATCGCCAGCTACCGCGGGGAGGCCAGATCGAGCCGGACTTGATCTATCGGGGCCGTCTATAGAGGAAATCAAGAATAACCCATACTTTGATCCGAACCTTGGTCCGAAAGCAACAGTAGCGAAGCCCCGACAAACGCGACAGCTCATTTTCAACCAGAAGGGCAAATACATACAGCAGGCCGCCGCTCTCCGTCGGCAGGCTCAGTTGGAGGCTATGAAGAAGCGGATTGCGGAAAGAGCACGGCAGGCGGGTATTGATGAAGACTTGGATGTTGAAAAGGCTTTTCTGGTGCCAGCCCCTCCCGCAATCGAATGGTGGGACGAAGGTCTGGTGAACGGCGAAGACTATTCTGGCATCGAAAATGAACAAAACCTCAAAATCGACACACCTGACTCGATTATCACGCAATACGTACAACACCCAGTTCTTCTCGACCCTCCGCAGGAAAAGCTACTACCAGCACAGAAGCCTATGTATCTCACGCCAAAGGAACAGGCTAAGATCCGTCGCCAGCGCCGCATGGCAGATCTGAAGGAACAACAGGCAAAGATCCGACTAGGTCTCGAGCCAGCACCTCCACCAAAGGTCAAGAAATCGAACCTGATGCGAGTCTTGGGTGAACAGGCCGTCAAGGATCCCACGGCTGTGGAGGCACGCGTGAACCGGGAAATCGCAGAACGTCGTGAGAAGCACGAGACTGCGAACGCGGAGCGCAAACTCACCAAAGAAGAACGCCGAGAGAAGCTTGCCCGGCAACAGGAGGCCGACGCGGAGAAGGGTATTCAAATGACCGTTTATCGAATCGACAGCCTCGCCAACGGGCGGAACCGCTTCAAAATCAGCAAGAATGCAGAACAGAACGCTCTCACAGGAGTATGCGTCATGCACCCTCGCTTCAACCTCGTGATTGTCGAGGGAGGCTCCCACTCTATCAACAACTACAGAAAGCTTATGATGAACCGGATTGACTGGACCGAGAACGCTGGCCCGAACGCGGTGCGCGAGGGCAACCGCGAGGCCCAAGCGGCCTGGCTAGCAGCTGAAGACGAGCAAACCGGGGAACTGAAAGACCTCAGTCACAATACCTGCGAACTTGTCTGGGAAGGTCAGGTCAAAGCCCGCGCGTTCCGGAAATGGCTGGGTGCGCGAGTGTGTGAAACGGATTCCCAAGCTAAGGATGTCTTGGCCCGCGCGAAGCTGGAGAATTTCTGGGTATTGGCGAAGAGTGCCAAACAGAACGAGTCGTGAGCTCGATCACACATGACATGGCATGGCATAGCATTATCACGCTTTCTAATTACAATTTACTCTTCTGTATCATAAACCAACCCAGAAAGACTTCCCACACATTATATCCAGAGACATTAGTATCGTATGTCAGTACATTGTACGCCATACATCCGACCATGATAATATTGGAAGTTCTAAAGAAGCGTGAAGCAATAGTGCAGAACTAGATGAAACTTTTTGATTACCCATCCGGAACCGAATTAAAAAACGATGCCCAGTTAGTAGCTCCAAAAATGCAACCGAACCCGGATAACTAAACAAAAGGAAAGAGAATACTAATAGCCACGATCCATTTCCAAAAGGGAACGCATATAGCAATATATAGATCAATCAATCATATCATCACAAATCACGAACGAGGAGGCCCCTGGTTCTGGTTCTGGTTGTTACTTAATTGCCGCAGAAGATCCAATTGTGCTTTCACTTGATCGAAATTCATCGTCGGTTGTTGGGGTTGTTGTTGTCCCGGTATTTGTTGTTGCTGCTGCTGTTGTTGCTGTTGCTGAAGGGCAGCCAGGAACAAGGGGTTGATGTGTACGTTACCAGGAAGCTGCTGGTACGGGTTCGGTTGTTGATAGGCCTGTTGGAAGGGCATCTGGAAATTGAATGGTGCTGTTGGCATGGCACCTTGTCCGTACGCCTGGGGTTGTTGCGGCTGGAAGGCTCCGAAGGGAGGGAACTGCTGAGGGAGAGCGTACGCGCCTTGCGGGTTTGTGGGGTACGCTGCTTGAGGGTAGGCGTGGGGTTGAGGTTGAGGTTGAGACTGATGAGAGGCCTGCGCTTGGGGCTGGTAGTATGACTGTTGACGATCTTGATGGTGAGGAGCCGACTCGTGGGAGGGACGGCCACCGCGGCCACCACCTCCGCGACCTCCACGATCATATCCTCGGCCACGGCCACGGCCACCACCGCGGATGCCGGAGTTATTCCTGCTGGGGCCGGAGTGGCCGTCGGCTTCAACGGGAGCTTCCTGTTGGCGCATCATTTCGTGCAGGTTCTTCGGCCGGGCTAGCGGAGTGTAGCCGTCGTCAACGGGGTTGTCGTCGTAGTTCAGTTCGCTTTGGCCGAGCTTGGAGGGTCCTGGGGGATTTCTTCTGCCTCTTGCTGGACCGTTTTCGTTCCGAGAGTCCTTCTTTTCCTGGCGCTTCTGCTTGAGCTTGCGCTTGTACTCTGCTTCAGCTTCGTCGTCGGAGAATTCGACTTCGTCCTCGGCGATCTCTTCGTCGTGGAAGTTGGAGGCATCGCTTCCCTTCAGGCCCTTGAGGGGTTGAGTGAAGACGAAGGTGGAGTGTTCCTCGACATAGTAGACATGTGTGCCCTTGGACAGGCCACGCTCGGTGATGGCGGCCGCGGTCGGGTACCGAACGGCATACAGAGGGTTCTCGACCCTTCCGAGAGTCTCGGAGACCACACCGGCGACACTGCGGTTCTCCAGACAGAGTAGCGAGCCGGCTTCGAGCACTTGGTATTCGCCGCTGGTGTTGGCAGTAATGAGGAGCGTGTTCTCGACAATCGCCTCCACCTGACCCAGATGCACAATTTTCATCTCGGGCGTGATGGTAACATCAGGGATGGGAGGTGCTTCTTCGGGCATTTCGTTCGCTGTTCTCAGATGACCGCCAGTTTTGCCTTTTCCATCGCCTTCGTCGTCAGAGCCAAGTTCGGCCTGCATCAATATCCGTGCTTGTTCTTCGGGGCTCAGGATGGGGTAGTCTTCGTCGTCGTCGCTGTCATCGGAAGAGTCTGTGGAGGAGTCGTCGGATGAGGATTCGTAGGGAGAGGAATCGATTTCCCACTCGGGGTGCTCGTCGTCTTCTTCTTCTTCCTGGGCAGCTTCAGCGCCATTGGTGGCAGGTGCCTCCGCTGGTTGTTGGGTCTCCTGCTTCTCATTGGCATCCACATCCATAGCATCGGTAGCGGGCTCCGCCTTAGTTTCCTCCATCTTCTCGGGCTCAGCCTGTACGGGAGCAGACTGGTTGGTAGAGACAGCATCCCTCTGCTCGCTGGCCGCATTTGTGGTCGTCTGTGGTTGCTGCAGATCTTTGACGTTGTCATTGACCAGGTTCAAACCCGGAATGGGGGGATGGATTTGTGAAGCGGCATCCGGCTCACTGGTCGGATTCTGGACGCCATCAACCTGGTCCTTGACAGCGCTACTGTCCGCAGGTGTCCCGACAGCCAAGGGAGTATTGTAAAAGTCGCTTCCATCGTCCGCTGGCGTCAAGGCAATGGGTGGCGTATCGATGGTGCAGGGTCTCTTGACAGGAGGACCCTCATTGGGGACTTCTGAAGAGCCCAGAGGCTGAGCAGGGGGCTGTTTATCACTCATATTGAAATCTCCAAGAACCACAAAGGATAGTCACCCCAAAAACAAGCGAAAAAGGTGGAATGAAGAGTGATGAAACTGCGACGGGAACTTTTTTTCGTTCTGGAGAAGCGGGTTGCCGTGGTGCCGCTTATCGATAAGCGGCGCTGCTCGCTTCTTCCGCCTCGCGGGACTCATTCCGGGCTCTCTTTCCGACCGCGTTAATTCGACGGCGTCAAGCACAAGTACGACAAAAGGAGGATTCATCATCTGTGAATCATTCCTAGAAGAAGCTAGAATGGCACCTGCTCGGAGGACAGGCGAGGCCCCTTCTGGACTGCAGGGGCCAGCGCCTACTCCGCGCACCAAACAACGGTATGAGTATTCCTCCAGCTGGCATCTTCCATCCGCAACTGCTAACAAGTCGTGCTATTCTAAAGGCCGCCGCCGCCGCCATTTTACCTACCATTGAACATCGCACTCTACCTTTGCATCATCACCAATGTGATTTCAGCCCTCTACGCGCCGATACAGGATTGTGACGAAGTCTTTAACTTCTGGGAACCAACACATTATCTCAACCATGGATATGGGCTTCAGACGTGGGAATACTCCCCGGTGTACTCGATCCGAAGCTGGCTGTATGTCTCTACTCATGCTCTGGTGGGCAAAATCGGATCGTTTGCTCTCAGCAGCAAGTCTGCAGAGTTCTATGCGATCAGATGCTTCCTTGCGCCGGTGTGCGCTGCTTGCGAGACCCGTCTCTACTCCGCCATCTGTCGCACCTTGAGCCCCCGCATCGGCCTTCTCTTCCTCCTGGTCGTCGCATTCACCCCGGGCATGTTCCATGCGTCAACCGCCTTCCTACCATCTAGCTTCACCATGTATATGTCGATGCTGGGTCTGACGGCGTTCTTGGATTGGCGAGGTGGTCAGAAAACGGCGCAGGGAATCATGTGGTTCGGGCTCGGGGCGATTGTCGGCTGGCCGTTTGCTGGGGCTCTCGTGCTTCCTCTTCTACTGGAGGAGGTGGTCATCGGTTTGTTGTCGTCAAACATGCGAGGGATGGTCCTAAGCGTTCTGGATGGCGCGATGAGGTGTCTGCTAATCCTGGTATGACTTCCTGGGTGGCCTCCCCATCTTGCGTTTTGGCTAACTCTTCCAGGCTCTTGAAATTGCTGTAGACTACGCTTTCCTGCGTAAACTTGTCATTGTACCCTGGAACATCGTTGCGTACAACGTTTTTGGCGGAGAGGGCAGAGGTCCCGAGATCTTCGGGGTTGAGCCTTGGACCTTCTATATCCGGAACTTGCTGCTCAACTTTAACATCTGGTTTGCATTCGCTATGGCCGCTGCGCCGCTGCTTGCCCTTCAGGCGCTCTTCCGCCCCAAGGCGACTAGTGTGCAGACCTTGCTCAGAACCGTGACGCTTATCACCCCGTTCTACATGTGGTTCGCCATTTTCACTGCTCAGCCGCATAAGGAAGAGCGGTTCATGTTCCCGGCATATCCATTCCTCGCGCTCAATGCGTCCATCGCCTTCCACTTGATTCTGTCGTTCGTTGGCTCCAGTAACCCCAATGTGTCAGCTGGGAGTATGTTACCGAAGATCAAGCTGGCAGTGATCATGTCAATAATCCTCATGGCCCTCAATTCTGGCCTCCTGCGGATTGTCGGGATCATGAGCGCCTACAATGCTCCGCTGAAGGTATTCGAACCGTTGGCACAGCCTGGAGTCGCCCAACCAGGCGATACGGTGTGTTTTGGCAAGGAGTGGTACCGGTTTCCCTCGTCCTTCTTCCTCCCCAGCGACCTGCGGGCCAAATTTGTTCGCAGCGAATTCCGAGGACTGCTTCCGGGTGAGTTTCCCGAGGCTGCGGACTTCTCTGCGCTCTTTGAAGGGACGTCGCGGATTCCTACGGGCATGAACGATCGCAATGAAGAAGATCTCGGAAAATACGTAAGTTCTCGGTTTTTCCTTCCTCTCTCTCTCGCATGCTTATCTTCTGCTTAGACCGACCTCTCGCAATGTTCCTTCCTGGTAGACTCGGAGTTCCCGAGCCGAAAGGCCACCGAGCTGGAGCCGGATTACATTCACGAGGACACGCAGTGGGAGCAGCTAGCGTGCCATAGCTTCCTGGACGCATCCCAGACGGGTCTTCTGGGGCGGCTGATCTGGACTCCGGATTTGCCAATCACCCCAGAGCCTCTTCGGCGGAAATGGGGCGAGTACTGTCTGCTGCGGAGACGCGGCGACGTCACAACAAACGCTGCATAGGTTGGCTATGGAAACGTGGGGTTCAAGCTACTGTACATAGATATCTCCCCCGGTTACCCTTGTTCGTATGGTGGATGCGCGCCTGCAGAGGAGAAGAAGTCATGCTGCAGCCGACGCTCGAAGGAGCTTGGCTGGCGGTGTGGTGGCCTTGCCGGATTGGGGAAAGATATCCTCGGATGATAAGAATGTTTGCAGGTAATGCAGCGTCAATCAATCCCGCTGGCTGTTATCTCAAACCCACAGCTTCTGGCTGGAGTTCATTCTCGCATCGCATTAACCCTTCCGGCAACCCACCCAGCGCCCTTCTGCATTGGTGCGCTTGCACCTTGCGCATCATCTGCATAGCTGGTTCCATCCTCTCTCTTAACTTCGTCGTATATATCATATATCATATCCCCCGGCATCCCGGGACTATCTCCGCCATGGTGGCAGCACAGACCTGCTTCCGACCACCGTGAACCATTTTCAGTCATCATGTTTCCTGAATCGCTCCATTTTGGCCAATCTCCCATCTACGATATCGCCCTGATCAGTGCGGTAACCAGTATCGGCGTATGGCTTATCACCCGAGCGTTCCACTGGTGGACGACAACATCCAAGCCAGTTGTGCCCCGATCATCCACCCCAGATCTCGAGAAGAAGTCGGTCGCAGTTACCAGGAAACCGGGAGGTGAACTACTTCCAGCAACCCCCAAAGACAGGTCTATGTAACTGATGCCAGTAATGTAGAATGGATCCCATCGGACTTTAAACGGCCGCCAGCATCACCGTATCCCGACTGGGATGTACACACGACCAAGCCCATTCCCTATCGACCATTTCGATATGGACCGTAAGTGATCCACCAAGTGCACATCTACAGCCAGCAATTAATCCGACCATCCACACAGCAAGTACTTCGTCACGATGGGCCTGCGCAGCATGAAATGGGATGAATGGATTGGTGAGATCCATCTCCTATCCCACTCCCCTCCACCTCCACATACTAACCCTACGCCATCAATCTCACTAGAACTCGACAACCACTACCTCAAATATCACGCCGACAAGGCCCGTCGCATCGCCGAACGCGGCGACAAATGCTGCAAAACCGCCCCGGAAGCATGGGACGCAGCCATCGAGCTCCTCGAAGAGCTAACCTCCTACCTCCCCGAACGCTACCCAACCATGTTCCAAAAGACCCCAACAGGCCTAACCAACCTCATCACGCACGAAACCTTCAACATAACCCAACGCCCCCTCCCCGAAGACCCCATGACCATCGCCGCGCGCCTCATCCAAGACGACCTCGCCATCATGATCGAACGACCCGACGGCGAATACTACCTCCTAGCGGGTGCCGTCCTCCTCGCCGGCTTCTGGCGCCTCTCCGACAAATACGGCATGCGACTCTCCGAAATCCACACCTCGGGCTCCGTCCCGCAATACACCGAGAAACTCGAAAAGGGAATGATGAATTTCTTCCGCCGCTTGAAACCCGAAGACCCTGTTCTCCGGAACAATTACTTCATCCAAGTCGATGACAGCTTACCCTGGTCGCATAGTATCGGGTCCGAGGACGCGGAGGAGGTATCGTGGAGCACGGCGCAGAAGAACAAGGCCATTGAGAATCACTGGTTCCGGTCTGAGAGGCAGAGTCTACGACGGTTGCCGAGGTCGGGAGGCGTGGTGTTTACGATTAGGACGTATTTTGAACCCATTACGGGCATTGCGGAGGAGGAGTATGTTCCGGGCAGGTTGGCTTCTGCGGTGAGGAGTTGGGGTGATGATGTCGCGGTTTATAAGGGAAGGGAGAGGTATGGGGATGTGTTGTTGGAGTTTTTGGATAGGAAGCATCGGGAACAGCTGGATAGGGGGTTGAGGGTTGAGTTGGAGGATGAGGTGAGGAAGTATCCTCTTTGAATTAGGGTGCTGTCGGTCTTTTTGGTTCTTGTCGATATCCTTGATATACTATCCATGAGCATATAACATTCATCCAATCTTCATTAGCATCGTCTCTAAGACTGTTTATATAAAGTAGTATATCACAGCACCAACACCATCCCTCTTTTCTATTCCCTCCTATCCATAACGCCAACCAACCAACACCCCTTAAAATCACACACACATATAGTAGTAGTATATACTAATCAAACACCAACCTCCACACCCCCCTCAACCTTACTCTTCCTCCCCATCCTCCTATTCGCAAACAACCACTCCCTCTCCTTCCTCCACTCACAGTCATCCTTGAAATCACAAATCCGACACTTCCACGCCTCCATAACCTCCACGCCGCGCGGATCCCTCTCTCCGCGCCACCAATGCATCTGATCCGCCACATACGACGACATGGACGTCGGATCGAATAGGAACGACCTACTCCCGAGCACCCGGGGCGGTTGGAGATCCGCACTCGGCTTCGAGGAGATATATCGCGCTGTGAGCAGCGGAGAGAGAATGGTGGGGTAGGGGTCTAGACTGCGGGGTTGAAATTCGGAGGGGATGGAGGGGGATGCTGTTGGTGGAGAGGGGAGGAAGGTGAGCCGGAGGTGGGATTTCATGAGGGTCCAGAGGGTGGTGAGGGTGTTGTGGGTGGAGAGGATGGTGGTGGAGTCTTGGCCGGAGGATTGGGAGGAAGAGTGTGATTCGGGTTGAGGTTGGGAAGAGTGGAGGTGGCGCTGGGGATGCTCGATGGCGTCTTGTGGGGTGGGGATATAGTCGGGGTCGAATTCCTGGGAGGACATGGCGTCAAAGAATTGGTCGTTCAGACCGCCGACTTCGTTGATGAAGGCGTCAGTGAAGGGGCGGTTGGGGTCCAGGTTGTATCGCGAGGCGAGGAGGTCGATGGTTACGTCGTCGCTGAGAACGAGGCGGTTGAGCATGTGGTAGTAGAGTTGGAGCTGGAGGAGAGTTGGTCGGAATGAGGAGCTCTTGACGGTTGGGACGGAGCCGCTGCCGCGTGTTTTGACATCGGTGAGGTAGATCCGGGGCTGGTGTGGGAAATTATCGGTTTCCTGGCTGCTGTTGGCCATGTTCATGTCCATGTCCATATCCAAACCATCTGCCTTCGCGGGTGTATCATCCTGCCCATACACCTCCGACAGAAGCCTCCCACCCCCAGTCGGAGAGAGCAAGTAATCCGACAACGACATCTGATACTCAGGCAGGATAGCCCTTGACGCCTCGACATCAGCATAATACGTCGCAGCGGTGGCCTCCAGCTCGGGGTCAGGACAATCATAAGAAAGCTGATCAATCACGCCCGTAACCAGCTCGCCATCCACTAATCCCCAGACCTCCAACTCCCGAGTGATCCCAAACTCCCGCAGCATGCGCAGACCCTGGATGATATTCCAAATCCGCAAAGCCAGCGCATCCTCCTTAGTAGTGATATCCACCGGAACCGTCGTGTAGATTTCATCCTCAAGCGTCTTATGGATTTTACTTCCCAACTTCATCGCCGCTGTCCTCGGCTTGCGCCCAAACTTGGTCAGCGTATACCAATACTGTAGCTCACACCACGCCGGCGAGATCAGATCCGTGACTGAAAAGGCTTTCATCGGAGGTCGTCGGAATCGTTCCACAGGTGACCTTGTATCCACCTCAGCATTGTCATTATTGCTGTCGCTACTGCTGTTGTTGTTGTTATTCTCCCTCTCTATCCGTTCCTGATGACGAGCTGCCTCGCGTTCGCGATCTCTTTCGCGCCCTTCTGTCGAATTCGGATGCTCAACTAAACGCTTCGAGGGAAGTTTCACCGTCAGCCACTCTGTCCCATCTCTTCACCACGACCAATACAATAAACATAAAAAAGAGATAAGGGAAACTACTAACCAGACGCGGCACGACCGTAGTAGCCTGGAATCGCCGCTGATCTTGCGCCAGCGCTGCCGCCACCCGGCCGATTCGTCCAATTCCGCTGCGGCCATGTAGGCTTCTCGCGCCCCAGGACCTTAGGTACCCTGCTGCCTGAGGGATCCGCATACTGGTCTTCGATGTCTTGAACGACAGGTGCGATCTGAGATGAAGGTGGATCTGCGTTTGCTTCTTCTGCTGGGGGGGTCGCGTGGCGATCCGGGGCAATCTTGGCGAGCAGGTCGGTCAGCAGCGCGTCTTCTTCCGGGGAGAAGTCGGAGCCGTAATCTGTGGTGTTGCTGCTGCTGCTGTCGTCGCTGTCATTGAAGGCGCCGGGGATTACAAGAGATGCTGCTGGTGGAGGGCAGGACATGCCTGCAATGCGAGGGAGGGAATCATGCCGCGTGTGGTGGAAGATGATGGCTTCGAGAAGGAAGAGTCGCGACGAGATCCAAAGTTCGGGTCTGGGCGCTCGGATCCTCTCACGTCATATGATTATGATGATCAGGTCATGTTTTATTTTAATATTATGTATTCTTTCTTCTCTTATTATCGTTGTCATGTCTCAATTTTTTTGGAATATGGTTTCTCTGCTAATGATCTCTATTCAAATCTATCTATGTACTGCTCACTCTTCTAAACAAGTTGCCGGCTAATCCATAACCGAAAGAGTCTATATCTATATCCAAACCAATTCCGCCAATACATCGCAGGGATATCAAAAAGTTGAATCAAATCACACAAAGGAAAATCAAGAATGAATGGCAATTATGCCTTCATAGCCACCGCACCAACACCAGCTCCAGCAGCCACCTCCACCGACGCCGTCCTCTCTGCCTCGACCTTGCGCGCCGCCTTCTGATTCAACCAACTCAAATACGTCTGCCACCCAACAGCAATGACACCGGAAAAGATACTCCGGAACTGAGGCCCCACATACATGAAGCTGAACGCCGTAACGGCCGGCCACAGCTTCACGCTATTCGAAATACTCGTCGGCAAAGCGACCTTGAGCCGTTCGAAGGTCTCCTCCAACGACTTGCCCGTCATCAACGACTGCAGACCGAAGAAATAGGTATTGAACACGGGAGTAAACACCGCCTGCTGCACGCAGACCTTGGTCAGGATGGAGAGGAACTTGGACGAGTAGTTGAAGTTGTGGTGCAGGAACATGAACCTAATTCCGCCCATGAATTAGCCATCACATCTAATACATATCTCACCATACACTGCAACACTCACCATTTATACGTCGGAATCGCACTTCCCACTCCCACCGTCAGATGCCGCACCGTCCGCCACGGATCATACCCTCCTCCAACTCCTCCTCCACTGTTACTCCCTGCTTCTTCCTTCTGATCACCCGTCTGCTCCTCCCGGGATGAACCATTATCCGGCGGAAACAACAACTGCGCACCCAGATCACCACACAGATACACCACAATCGTACTGATCACTTGCGTCCGGTAGGGTCGTCTCTCCTGCACGCGCGCATACGCTCGCGCCACTCGTCCAACGGGGCCAGCCTGGATTCTCTGGATAAATGCTAGCGATGCGGATACCGATCCGGGGGCGGGGGCGGGGGCGGTGGTCGATGCGACCGGGCCAGGCACTGTGGGAGCCGGCTGTGGGTTGGTCGCTGGAGCATGGGGTTTCTCAGGGACGGAGTTATGATGAGGTTCTGTGTTGCGGGGGGTCGAGGAAACGTTTCTTCGTGGTGGTTGGCGCCGGAGGGACCGAAGTGGTTGTATTCGGCGGATGAGGACGTGGCTGTTCATTTTGGCGGGTGTTGATGTCGCTAGGGAGGAGATAATAATGTATATAGAGTGCTGCGATATGGGCGAATATGTTTAGAAGGGAGGGAGTGTTTGGGAGAAGTTGGGATTGCGAAGAAAAGGCGAGTTGTGGATTGTCCTGCTGACAGACTTCCCCCAGGGAGAATAAGTTAATGACTCGACGGGCGCAAGGCGATAAGTAAATAGTCAGACCGGAAGCAGAGCAGCCACGTTTTTGCCGCGTTAGCCACCAGCCAGCGAGAAGCCCGATGAGATGTATCACTTGAAGGATAGATTCAGGCAGACATGGAAAATAAAAGGAAGAAAAATGACAGATTAACGAGATACGTAGTTTAAAACTGCCTTGGAGAAAAAAGTTTCAAAGGCTATCAGGGTCGGCAGCGCATAAGCCCGCGGTAGCCGAGGATCGGGGAGAGATTATCTCCCTCCGATCGGTCGGAGATAGCGATCGTCCCGGAGTCTCTTATCCGGGGAGGCTTAACTTTTGTTGACTACTAATTGCTGACAGGCTTATAATAGAACAATATCATTCATAGTATATAGAGTATATATTGCAATTATGTCATTATATCACTGGTAGGGCTGTATGACCCGTATGCGTTCAATAAAAAATCACCGCCATCTATCATGCTAATGCGAACTGAAATGCCAAAGCAAACATCAAACTGGGTATATCACCATGCAAGTCATCTAAGAATTCACAGACTTTTTCTTCTTGCCATCATTCGCATCGAGGGTTGACAGTCCACAAATATATGGACATGTCGAGGGTGTAGGTGTGGAGAGTGTAATAAGTACTAAAGATTATTCACAAGGTCGGTAGTAAATGTATGGTTGAGTCGAGTCCCGCAGATGGAGATAGACTCATTGCTTGAACGACTCGCGGGTGTGCACCCGGTCGATATCGTAGGGGTTGCCCTCGTAAAGCGACTGCTTCGCCGTCCGAACCGAAGCCTTGCTCTGAGTGCGGTGGGCCTCAGGCATGTGCGCTTCAGTGCTAGAGTCGGAGTCGTCAGCCTCTACGCCAGGAGCCGGGGCCTCAGTACGGTCGAATTTCTCTTCCGCCATAACCTCCTCCTCGGGAACGGGCTTCTTTGTGAGCTGTTCCAGCATCTTGCGCATGAAGGCGTCGGACTCGGCGGCGTACTTGCAACGAGTGCGGATAGCAGGGCCGTACTTGTAGAAGAGGAAGGGGAACGGCACACAGGCAAGGGCCAAGAAAGCCGGGACACAGGTGGCCCAGTGGATACCGAGGTTCTCGTACATGTAGGTGGTGAACAGGGGGAACACAGCACCGAAAATAGACCGCATGACAGAGTTGGCCGCCAGGACGGACGCGGCAAAGATCGTGTACGTGTCAATCAGGTATGACAGGTTGCTCAGGAACACCAAAACCAGGCCAAACCCGAATGGAGCACCGGCAGCGATACTGGCCATCCAGTGAACGGACGGAGCGTCTGTCCATGCGAACCAGAAGAGACCGATCGGGACAGCAATAGAGGCCACCATGCAGGGGGGTAGACGGGCCTCCGGGGGGGCAAAACCACCGTGCGCCTCCTGTGCCCGGACATAGCGCTTGTTATCCCAGATGTTGTAGGCGACAGCAGCAAGCATGCCAACCATGATACCCAAGAAAGGCAGACTGCCAACTCCCTGGTTCCAGCCACGGTACTCCTGGAAGACAATGGGGTAGGCGTCAAACAACATGTACAGGGTACCGTAGACAATGGCAATGTAAAGAGACAGCAGGAACACAATTGGCTCACGGAACAACAAGATCCAAGGACGGGACAGGGCGGTTTTGAATGCTTGTTTGATTGTCGTCTTGCCCTGGTCAATGTCCAGCTTGCTCCGGTACACCTTACCAGTGAGCTTGCTCAGTCTCTCGGCGCGGCGACGAAGAAGCACTGGCGCATAAGTCTCAGGAACGGTGAGAGAACCAATAATCCAGACGAATCCAGAGAAGGCACCGAGAAAGCCCATCACCCATCTCCATCCCGCATTCATTCCCAGGAATCCGCCAATGATGGGGCCAAGAACGGGACCTGTAGTGCTTATGTTAGCTGCGGGCGAAGAGAGTTGAGAGATCAGGAATGGAGCCTACCGAGGAAAGGCGCCGCAGCGAACAGACTCGTGGCAATACCACGGTCCTTGGCAGCAAACATATCGGCAATAACACCACCTGCATTGGTCATGGGAGACGACCCAAAGGAACCAGCGAAGAAGCGGAGAATGATCATGGTCCATGTGTTTTGCGAGCCGGCACTGCCTGCGCTGAAGGCAGTAAGAGCCATGTACGTAAAGAAGAAGATGATTTGCCGGCCAAACATCTCACTAAGAGGGGCCCATAGCAAGGGACCTAGTTACTTGTTAGCTGTATGTGGAGGGCTGCACAGGTATATGAAAGACATACCAACTGCGAAACCGAGGACGAAGAGGGAAACACCGAGCGTTGCAACTTCTGTGCCAATTCCAAATTGTTCTTCAATCTCAAGGACACCACCAGTGTATCCGGACGAGACCAGGGCAACAGCCAGGGTTGCGAGGGCCATCACCATAGTGAAAGACCATTTCTTGGCCGCGCTGAACTGCATCGGATTGCGAGGATCATTAGGAAGCCATGTTACCGCATAGGGATCCTCATCCGTGCCAGAGCCAGGATAGTGGTGATCGATGATCTCCTGGGTTACCACACCCTGGTCGGTGAGTAGACGCCAGAACGGGATGGTGCGACTTTCAGGCGCCTCAATCACTGAGGGCCCGCTATCCCCCTTTTCGGTTGCCATATGGGAGGGCCGAAGTTTGCTTGCGATATGCGGGGGGATGAGTACGAGTGATGGTGAAATGGTTGCGGTGTTTAGTAAACAAGCGGGAGAGCCGAGGTGTAATTGGGCGTCGAGAAATATGTCGTGGTAAGATGCTGGTCTGGATGTAGTAGGGGGATGATCTCAACGGCCGGAGACGTCAGATCAAGATAACCAGGCTGATCACTACCTTAAAACAAGGTTGCAAAAGTCTCCTCCGTAGGGGGTATCGAGGATGGACCCCTGGTTATATATACAAATCAAACGGGGTCCACGAAATTTCTGTTTCCTTCCCACCCCCATCGAGCGCCAAGCGGCGTCACTTACGACTAATCGTTTGCATTTAGCCTCGGGATCAGCACCGGTTTCAATCAGGGCGGACGGAGACGAGGTGCGCAAAAGGCCCTTCGACCCAGGGAAGCACAGCCCACCCGAGACGGAAAAGGGGCCATGCAGCCGATGTCTGCATATTAGACCGGACTTATGCACCGCATTAGCTCGAGGTGGAGGCCGTGTTAAAGGCTTCGAGAGTGATCGGGCTCGGCTGAGGTGGACCGAACCAGCCCAGGCGGCTGAGGATCCATGGGCGAATCTGCGGACCTCGTGGCAGGAGTCATTCGGGCTAATTTCTTTCGCAATTTCGTTTCTCGATTAGTTCAGGTCCGATAGTGGGGCGTCACCACTGTTGGGTAGGAAGTTTCTCGAGCTGTCTTTTGTCGAGGGGCGAAACTTACCGAGGTCCAGAGAGATAGACGATATCGCGAAAGACACCTTCTAGACTCCCTGTTTCCAGGCCACGTAACATAACAGTGCTTGCTGCGATGAAGACTGATAGCTACGGGGTCATGCCCGAGTGTAGGTCAGATTGAGTTCCGGTAAAAATTGCCGAGCAAGAGTTGTTCAGAGTGGACAGGAAAGCCCAGTGTTGGAGCTGCAAGATGCCGATCACCAAGATTAGTGGCGGTTGACTTCTGTCTTCATGTCTCTGTCTGTTTTCACCGCCCACACAAACAAACCAAAAGTTGATAAGCAAAGATTTTATGCACGGTCGCATATTGGCCTTTTTGTGGTTAGTGTGGCTTCTAGAAGGCAGATGATCCATGGATCACTAAGCCTGCTCGGGCCTAGTGGACTACCGCATGCCTGAATTGGAAGGCGGGCAGGCCCAGCTAGCGGAGGGATTCCGACGGCATAATTCCAGCGATGCAGCACTCATCTGCACAGCGTCAACGCATCCGCTCGTTTGGGTGATATGTCCGACGTCGTCTGATCCCAGGGTCATTCGTGGACCGTGTGACTGTCTGGGTGTGTGACAGGCTAGGCACCAGCTAGTCTGCCGGTCAACAATAATTATTGTGCTACTTATCGTGGTGCTGATATTGACTCCTGAGACAGGAGTCATAACAAATCCTTGCTAACAAGAGTTGACCGTTTCAAACTTGCATAGCTTTTCCATCGTTATACATCGTAGTGCCGACACTATAGCCAGGCACAGATGACACGATTCACCGCATTATCTAGATTTGAAGACTAAGTTCATATTGCTGATCACTCAATCAAGATTCATATCAAGAAGTCTGCCGAGGTAGCGATCTGTCGGCCATTCCGTTGACCCACTCCCTTAAGGTTTGCTTTGAGGAGCTGATGAATCTTGTCTCACGCAATGCGAGTCATTCAGTAATGATTACTAATGTCTGGCATAAATGGTAAAAGAGACCGATGAACTACGGAGAACGATTAATTCGAAGTCATGGGCTGAATGCACGAACCGCATCAGCCCCAGAGGCACCTGCATGTTGGTTATAAGCGTACGTGATATGGACGAATCTGCGACAGGTATTAATTGCTCTGATATTGGGTTGCATTGACCGATATTTGATCCTCCATTCTCGTCCGATGGATTACGAGGTGGGACATGGCGACAATCCCGACAACGGGCTAAATCAGGCTCCGATCGCGCACGCCGTGTTGATTGTGATGTATCAAACTTCGGGCACTCGCACTTGCAATCCATTCATGCTGTGGTCTTGTTGCTTTTTCAGGCAGCCTGGTTGCAGACGCTGTCCGTGCTCCGAATGAAACTCCGACCCTGGTCTCTCTCTGCAGCATGTACCTCGTACTTCTTTTGTTGGGCCTATCGTAGAATTTATCGGGTATCTGCATCGCTTGTTGGGCCAGCGGAGGTGCAATATCCTGGGTAGCACGATATCATTGGCTTTGAGGGATGAAGTTACTTTAGTTGTAGACGATCACTAGCCTAGCGCGATTTCAAAGTTTGGATTATCCGATTGCGCGTCGGTCATAGCCGGTGATATCTCGATACGGGTTGTTTTCGTGCTGCTCAGCTGAAGAGTTTGATTGAACGGCTAAATTCAAGTCACCGCAATTTGACCATGAATCATGGCAACAATAATAATGTTGATCAGGTGGATATGTCGATCATCGATAAAAGACCGATTCCATCACCCAGGCTACCTATGAGCAGTCGTTCTATTGTGAGGGGAGGTCGGGGATTCTGGGCACATATTATATCACATCCTGACTCGGAGTCTCAGCATGTTCTGAAGACAGAAGTTATCGCGATCTCGATTGTGCACTGAACGTGCCGATTTACCTACAGATAGGCATAGTGTGTGAGTAACTATCAAGCAGCTAACTTGGCCCATTGCCAATGCAAAACATAAACGCTCCTTAGTTACAAACGTGCTGTATGTCCAAGACGATGTTGTGATTTTCCCCCACAAGTAATACTCGTGGTCAGAATATCGATGTTGGCGTCAACCAAGAAGAGTGTTGCTGGATAAGCAGCGTGCCTCATGCAAGGGGAATATTACCCCGGCTCGGCACAACTCAGTATGTGCGCCATGTCAGGTTTCTCCGAGACCCTACCTATGCCTTAGGCCATAATTATCAGACAGGCTTAGTGACATCTATGTAGTTTCTCATTGTAGGGTAAATGAAAAATAATTAGTCTCTTCATTATCGTTAGTACTAATACTGTAGTGATCTGACGCCGGTTGTATATATTGTCGCGATGGGCCCGATAGTACTAAAGAGTATAGTAGCGATTACAATCCATGACTTGGCGCCACTATGTATTGAGCTTTCACTGATCCTTAGGAAGGGGAGGATGGCATTAGCAATCTCCTCCTCATTACCATTGAAATGTCATTATCGCCCAACATCCATATAATTCGCTTCAGGAATTGCCATACTACATAAACACGCTACTACTATCCTGCCATTGATGCGGGTTAAGTCCGTCCCCGCCGCCCCGCCCGATATGCGTCTGAGCAAACGTCATGGTCTTCTATGCGGAACTACTACTCCATATCTGCAGACTACTGATCGTGATCCTGGAAGACGAAGGAGAGAATATGGAATTATCGAAATTTCAATGGACACTTTTATACCATCGAGATCAAAAGTCTATCCTATTCCCTCCACAAAGGTACATACACTAACCACTTACTTGAATGACTAGACGCTATGATAACGACCGCGTCGACCACACCAAGCATCCAGTACTCTCCTATTAACTCGCAATCATCCAACATCATCATTCAAATCAATACTCAACCCCAGAATTACCCATACTATTACAATAGCCTCTCTTCCATGGTACCAGATTGAATTATATAGGATAGCCAGTCAACGAATCTACAGATAAACGGGATGCTGCGACCCGGCGGCCCGGAGTCAACCTACCTGTCCACTGGCCTGCCAATTATATTCTTCGGCGATGATCACTGTTCGCCTGAAGCTTCAACAAGTACATCATTGATCACACGTATATAATATTTTGCATATTATTCGCATAGCTGCCGTTCCAATATTCCGTGGTCATCGTCGCGCTGTATGGGAGGGATACTGGTGCTGGCGACTCGGAGGTACTAATGTGGTGGCCAACCATCCCGACAGGATTCCGTGAGTGTGGTGGCGAATTGGCGACTTTGGCCGCTTGTTAAGCGCCCCAGCGTAATGAAGAATATTCGAGAGAATAGATTGCCATTGATAGGGATCAAAGCCTTCTACTCTTGTGATCTTGGGGCTCGGACGTAGGGAACGATATCTTGGTCTAGCAATGCAAAGACTACGGAGTCCTTTGTAAAAAATTCCCATATGAGAGATACGCCATCGTAGAGCCAACTGAAAGGAGGACACCCACGTCTTTTCTGTAAGACAACTGCATATACCCGTTGTCATTCCTTGAATTGCAGGCCATCCCCCAGTCCTTTCAAGCTCTGAACAGGGATTGTCATCGGCGGCGCGTAATGTACTAAGGCCGCCTCCCACCCACTGCCCACTCTACGACCTCCATGGACGCGAAACGTCTGTGTCGGGATAACATGTAGTTGAAATGAAATATTATCTAAATAGTTGAAACGAAATATTATCTAACCTCATAATTCATTATTCTTCAGACTACGCATCGATTTCTATTGCCATGACCCGAATACTCCCAAATTTGCGAGTTGCTAGAACCACCCACTCGATACCCCCCAACCCAGAGACACCCGCTAACCCCCTTACTGTGGCGAACCGGTAAGTCGCAGGCAGTATTCGGTTGTGAACCAAATAATGCCACAATCACCCGCTGTTCTTGCTGTCGTCATCCAATTTTTACTCGGTATGTTGCAGTTAGCCATGAAAATCAATGGTCTAGTATCCCGAGATGATTGTGCAATTTTCGTTTCATTGCAACATCATGATACGGAGTATGTACAGGAAGTAACGGAAACGGTCGTCAAGATTGATGTATCCTTCGCCGATGTTACATTGCTGGAAATATCACACGGTCGCACATTCAGACACTTAATCTTTTATGTAGAAAGGACGCAAGCCCTGGCAGCAAGTCACTGTAGTGCCTCCTGCTGACTACTAAGTAAATTTTCAAGCCCATCAACCCTGCAGCGTAGATCTGCCGTAGTACTGTAGCCGACCGGGGAGTAGTTAGTGTACGACCACCCACAGCAGGCAGC